AGAACTGGGGATTGAACTCAGGCCCTTGCGCTTGCCAGGGAAGTGCATATTCCACTGAGTCATCTCCCTGGCCCCCAAATTTAATGCTAAGCTTCCTTAGCTAAAGCTATGGAAAAGAATCACCGTAAGTGGGAAATTATTGCTGGGCGATAGTGCATGCCTATAATCCCAGCACTCAGGAGGCTGAGGCAGGAGGATCTTTGCAAGAGAGTTTAAGACCAGCTGGGCTGCAAAGTGAGCTCAAGGCCAGTTTGAACTGCATAGTGAGACTCTGTCTCAAAAAGACAAAAACCAAAAATTTCCAAAATACTTTTCAATTAAGGCAAAGCCATAACCCTCTGTGAATATGGAGGGTCTCATATAATAGGACCGTCATATTACATGCGTAATATTTGCAACTTTCCTTACCCTTCAGCCTCTTATAAGAAGATCAGGGAGTTCTTTCTAGATTTTCTGTGCTTTCTTATGTTGACAGGGATACTGGACATAGTAATAAAAATCTAAAGAGGAACAAACAATAAGATGGTGAATTAAAAATAACAGAGTGGGGCCGGTGAGATCACTCTGTGGTTTAAATACCTGTCTGGTAAGTGCAAGGTCCTGAGTTTGATCCCCATTACCAAAACAAAAACAAAACAAACAAACAAACAAAAAGGAGAGTGGTTGAAAAAGCTTTAGAAACTTTAATAAAGGAATAATAAAAAGATACTGGTTAAAATCTTGAGATAAGGACATTTACCTAACTACCTTGCAGAACAGAAAGTTCATAAATAAAAATATAGAAAGTAGCTTTTAGGAATGTCCTTGGATGAATTATAACTATTCAATAGTCTATAAAGACTTATTACTGGCTTTCAAGGATTTTATTTCTATTCATGGGCTGAAATAGGTCTTAAATTTGTAGCTGGAAGGCTTTTAACGCAGATTATAGTTTTGTAGACTTTAAGAAGGAATGCAAACTATTATAGCAGCCATAATTTATTTATTAATTGTTGTAACTTACTGCTAACCTGTCATTCATGATTCCTATTAAATTGTTTCATAATTTCTGACTGCCTTTTCATCTTAATGATTTAAATGTAATACCTCATATAATATCTCATCTCTTTTCTTGATTGTACATTGTTTTTCTGAAAGATGACATGTCATGAGCCAGTTGGCTATAGACTAGCAACTGACTATCAAGAAAATAAGATAAAATTGGCTTTCAGAATTCAAAAAGATTGGGGCTGAGGAGATAGCTCAGTAGAATAAGTGCTTGCCTGGCAAGTGCAAGGTCCTGAGTTCAATCCCCAGTACCTCAAAAAAAAAAATCCAAAAGATCTAATGGTATATATTAAGAAATAGTTAAAAAGTTGATATATAAGTATATATGTGTATTTTAGTTATCTAAGTTTAATTCTGATCACTTGTGACTATGATAGTTACTTGTTGAATAATTAAGTTTTATGCTTATGCATATTAAACAGATTTAATTACCTATTATGTGTACCAGTAAATCTCCAAATATTTCATGTAAAATTTACAAATTAATTTCACATTTTAATTGTTAATATTTTTATGCATTATAATACCAATTGGATCATGGGGGCCTTTTAACTGGTAGGCACAAAAGAAATAAATATCCTTATATTTTAATGCTGCTGTTTAATTTTGTTCATATATTTTTAACCTTATTTTGATGAAATTCAGGAATTACATTTATAAACATGTTTCCAGTTTTATAAAATATAAATGAGATTTCAAAGAAAGTTTGAGAAGACATGAGAGGTAAAGAGGAAAGAGAGTTATTTGATGCTCAAAGAAAATGTTAGGGAGGACAACAAAGGTATGGATTAACCAGAAGTTTAATAGTATCATCAGATGATTTTAAGAAAATAGAAAGTATTCTTTTTTTCTGATGTTTCTGAGGATTGAACTTATGTATTTATTTTCATATTTTGAGACATGGTTTGCGCTTGAACTGATCCTACTGCTTCAGCCTCTGGAGTGGCTAGGATTATCAAGCATAAGCAGAACATCTACTCAAGAAAAATATTCTTAAAGAGATCTTTAATATTATAATCACTGAATGTCCATCTTACAGAAGTTCATATTTTAATACAATTTATTTCATCAAGGTACACAGATGTTGCTGACAAGTCCTAAGGAGGAGGGATTATTTATTTCCTATTTTCTAAATACCTTCTTGTTGTTTTATAAAAATAAATATATATGTTAATAAATTTAATTTGTTTACATCTGTTTTAATATATATTTAAAGACAGATAAATATGGAAACTTTATATTTACTTTAAATGTATCCATATATGGGTAAGTCCATCAAGCAAACTGCATATAGTTTATGAGTGGTATGTGACCATGCAGGTTGATGACTACAAAAGTGTTGCTATTTCTGACACACTTACTTAAAAAGTGAATGATGTCTCCCTTTTTTCTTCTATACTGTACTTAAGGAATACTCTAAAAACTTCTTTCCAGTTCTATTCTTTTTTTTTTTTTTTTGTGGAACCAGGGATTGAACTGAGGCCCTTGTGCTTGCCAAGGAAGCGCTTATTCCACAGAGCCATCTCCCTGGCCCCAATTTTTTGAAACAAGAAAAATTACATGGTGCTAGGAAAAAAGAAGGCAATAAATCAGCATGATACATTTGAGAGTCTAGTAAAACGGGTAGCCATCAAATTCTTAAAATAAAGAAAATAAGGGCCATTAAATAGAAAGAACACTATTTTCAACAAAAAATTGTAATTTAGGTAGGAATTTAAGAATGTGGGTAGGGCACCTTTGTCCCAGAGACTAAATAAAAAACAAATGCTTAGCATCTCTAGACAATCTGCACTGCATTTTGTCTCCCTGAACACATTCTCCTTACTTTTCCACCTAATCACACAGTCAATTTTCTTTTACTTTAAAAAGGAGCAGCTGATATTATAAATGATTTTGTTCGTGAGACGGCACTATTTTGAGAAACTGAGCTTAATTCTCTGAAAAAATAGTTCCCTTTTGATTGCAAGCCTCTGAGCAGGTTATGACAACAACATATCTTAGCTGTATCCACATTTTTATGCAATTGTGTTATGGATCCAGGTTAACATATAAGCACATACACACATGCACATGCACACACACGCACATGTGCATGCTGAACTGTTAAGATCATTTGTTTATATCCTGCTTGGAGTAGTCACACTTATTTGTTAGAAGCTTTGGAAATGAGCTCATCATGTTTGTAGAACTTATTTTTGCAATCAAAACATAAGAATTCTTAAACTTGTGAAATACACTGGTATCAGTTAGATAGATGTATTTATTTTCTTGGGCTACCATATAGGCATCATAAAATTCTGTTTAAATTAATTAATCATTTCACCCTACATCTAAGGCTATAATCTTAGATATTTTATTCAGAGAAATTCTACAGCTCAACTCATTTCCTTAGTATTTTGATAATTACGTTTTTAAAATTGTGAAAGTGGATGAAGGGAGTAATTATGGGTTTATTTGGTGCTTCAGTCTATGCAAACCTTTAGAGCAATGGACACACTCTGTCTTTAAAAGGGTGGTTTCATAAAGTGGTAGAGAAATACAAAATAGTAAAAGAAAAAAATCAGTGAGGAAAAGCCTCTAAAGTACCACTTACTATGAAATGTGTAAGATGTTATACAGTTAATTTAAAAATAGACAAACACAGTCTTAGCCAATGTAAAAGCACAGTATTTTTCTCCCTCACCCTCCCTGTTCACCCCCTCCTCTCCAGAGTCACACCTGACAATGCATTGCATGGAATCCTGATCATTTTTGTAAATCATTCTAACATCAGGTACCAATGTGCAAACTACTAAAATAAAGCAACAGTACAACAGATAGGTTTAAGCAAAACTGTCTAAAAATAAATATTCATGTCAGTTTGGCAGCTACTTGATCACAAAATATAAACGTCCAACTGTTGCTACCATGTTTACCATCAAACTTGATGTGCATCATTAAGGATGCCACATCTGGACAAATTCCTTTAGTTTAAGTTCATGAACTCTTCCCAGATGCTTCTATACAAAGTCACACATCCATGCTGACTTACTTATTGTGTGTCAGGAATCTGCAGTGGGCCAGGGTTTTATTTGCAGGCTATTCAGAGAGGACACATGTAGTAGCACGGTTTGAAAATCCAGGTTGGAAGCATAAACATAAGGTGTGCAGCCACAGTCTGAGCAGGAGACTGGTTTGTGAAGGGATAGAGAGTCAGAAGAAAGAGCAGTAGAGAGAGTATCTTTCATTTTAGAAACACTGAGGCACAAAACACAGGAGATTGTAGTACTTTCATACATGAAATCCTTTCTCCTGTATGTGCATCATATGTAAACGTAAAGTCTGTATGCTGCTGACTATTCGTCTCTGGTGTCCAATAAGTATAACTCCAATTCTCCTAACATCACTGAAAAAGAGAGGGAGGGAATATTTAGATTTGTTAAGTATGAGGAAGAGAAAATGAATGCTTACACACATTAAATATGTACAGTGTCCTACTCATCCAAATTTTAAGCAACCTTTTTAAATATTTACAAACAGTAATTGATTACATGTTTTTTTCTCTTTGGCTTCACAGAACATACCACATTAATCTAAAATTTAATGAAGAAGAACTTTCATATGCAGGTGTTCATGTTAGATATTTTATAGACCCCAAAACAATGTTTGCATATCTACAATTTAGATATGTAGTTAAATTTCAATAGTGGTATCAAAACAGAATGCAAGGTAGAAAATATAATAATTCCCATAGTATATCAGCAAGCTAAAAAGTTGTCATTATGCTGAACTATATGAAATTGCCATGACTGTCTTAAAATTGTGATAACTTCAATTTGGCTGAATATAATTGCTTTACTGTTCAGTCCTTTAATCCACACGATGAACATTTATAATGCCTGTCAACGATGGCTGATCTTTAAAACAAAGGAAATGGTTGACTATTATAATACGCAGGAAGAATTCTAAGGTGAAATAATAGAGTATTAATTTGATGGAGGTAATAGGAATTGGTTATGGAATATTAGTTTATGAGATAATTTATCAGCAAAAACTATGTTAATATATGAACAAGAGTAATACATATTTTAGAAATCATTTAAAATATTTTTAGAAGTTACTGATTAGCTATTTTCTTTCAAAGAAGAATAGTCTTAAAATGTAATGTCCAACTTCCACTAGAAAAATTGTCAGAAATTGTGGAATGACATTCTAGTCTTCTGGACAAGGTTCTTGATGTAGTATTTGAATTTATAATTCCCTGCACAGAATGTTATTTAAGGAGACATTAGACAGTTTCCACAATTAAATGGTAATGGCAATATGACATGCCAGACTTACTTAACAAAATGAAGAAATCCTACAAGGGAAATAAATGGAGGTGAATTTTCACTTCAGAAAAACAGAATAAATTCAAATAACCTAATGTTGAACCTCAAGCTGCTGGATAAAGAAAGGCAAATTAAACACAAAGCACATATGAAGAGAAAACATATAAATAATGAAGCAATGAGTTTGTTCTTTGAAAGATTAAATAAAATTGACAGACCCTTAGCCAACCTTGTGTAAAAAAAGACACTCAAATCTATGCAATTAGGAATAAAAAGGCAAAAATCACAATGGATCTTGCAGAAACTCTCATGTTAACTAATAGCTACTTTGAGCACCTGTACTTTAATAAAATGGAAAACTAAGAAAAAATATAGGTTCCTAGACACTTCCAAATTACCAAAACTGAATCAAGAAGATATAAAAATTCTACATAACTAGTATTAGTCAACAAAATTGAAGAAGTAATAAAAAAAAAAAACTACCAACAAAGAAAAGCCCAGATCTTGACAAATTCACTGCTGAATTCTACAAGAAATAGAGAGAGCTCCTGCAATTACTTTTCAGATTCCTTAGTGAAATTGAAAAGGAAGTTTACTTCCAAACTCATTCCTGGAGACCAGATACCAAAACCACCAAAAAAATAGAAACCAAAATCCTTGATGAGAATACAAACCAAACTCTTTGATGAGAAAGAAATAAAAGGAATAAGAATAGGGAAAGAAAAAGTTAAATTATTGTTTATGGAAGGCATGATCCTCCACACATAAGACTCCAAAAGACTCCTAGATTTAATAACTAAATTCAGTAGTGTAGTAAGATACAAAAATCAACACTTAAAATCAATAGTATTTCTATATACAGATCACAAACTCTCTGAAAGAGCAATTAGGGAAACTTATACCTTTCACAATACATCAAGAACAATGAAATGATTAGGAATCAATCTAGGAAAGGAAGTGAAAGACCTTTACATTGAAAGCTACAGCACTCTGCAAAAAGAGACAAGAAGATAACAGAAAGTGAAAAGATATCCCTTGTGTTTGGGTAGGAAGAACTAATATAGTAAAAATGATCATGCTTCCAAAACTATTATAAAAATTTAATGTAATCCCCAATAAAATACTAGCAGCATATATCACAGAAATAGAGAAAACAATCCTAAAAGTCATATGGAACCAGAAAATACATAGAATAGCAAAAGCAATTTTCAGCTACAAAGGCAAAGCAATTGAAGGGGTATCAAAATCCCCAAGTTGAGATTATACTGTAAAGTTATTGTGATTAAAAACAGTATGATACTGGCAAAAAAATAAAAATAAATCTGAGGATCAATGGAATAGAATGGAAGATGCATAAACAATTCCAGACACACTGTGCTACCTTATCTTTGACAGAGGGGCCAAACATATTCACTAGATGAAAGATAGCCTCTTTAATTAACGGTGCTGGAAAAACTGGCTTTCCACATGCCAAAGATTAAAGCTAGTTCCATATTACTCACTGTATATTAAACTAAAATCAAGATAGATCAACTATCTAAATATTAAACAACTTTCTGGAAGACAAAATAGGTAAAACTTGAAGACATAAGTAGGTAAAGACTATGAACAAAACCTTGATGACACAGGAAGGATTACAATGAATCAGCAACTGGGATCACTTAGAAAGCATTAGTACTGAAAACAAACTACTGAGAGACAAGTCACAGAATGGGAAAAGTGTTCTGTCATCTGTTCCTCAGAGGACTAATATCTAGAATACATAAAGAACTAAAATAGACCTCCTAACTTTAAAGACCCAATCCAGGAATGAACATCTGAAATAAATAAACACTTCTTAGATGAAGAAGTACAGACAGCAAATGTATAAAAAATGTTCAACATCACTGGCCATTCAAAAGATGCAAATTAAAACCCTGACATTCTGTCTTACCCCACAAAGTATGGCCATTATCCAGACATCAACCAATAACAAATGCTGGTGGGGCTGTAGGAAAAAAAGGAATACTCCTCCACTGTTGGTCAGAGTGTAGTGGTCAACCACTATGGAAATTAGTATGAAGATTCTTCAACAATATAAAACTAGAGCTTCCATTTAGCCTCACTATTCCCCTTCTAGGTATCTTCTTGAAATAATTAAAAGAATCATAGCACAGTAAAATATTCACACCTATGCTTATAACAGCACAATTTATAATATCTATATATTTTTTGTTGTTGTTTTTGTATTTAGGATAAGGTGCATAGGGTCTCACTTCTAGATCAGACTCCCAAGTGCTTGGATTACAGGGCGTGCCACCACAAGCAGTCTCAAGTGCTTCTCAGGGTGACCTGGGGGCGGGGCCAGCACGGCAGGCCCAGGGATCAAACTCCTGGCCCCTGCGTCTGCCTTAGCAAGTGCTTTAATCAGCTGAACTATTTGGTCAGCCCTTATAGTATCTAAATCTTGAAACCAGTCCAAATGCCAATCAGTGGATGAGTGGACAAAGAAAATGTAATCTTTATATATGCAGTGGAGTACATGAAGTATGGAGCATTTCTGCCATAACGAAAGATAAACTTAAGACATTTCTAGATAAATGGATGCACCCTGAGACCATACTCTTCACTGAAATAAATCAGACACATGCTTAAACAATACTTTTTTTCTCTTGTGTGAAAAACCCAAAAGGTAAATAAGGATCAAAATGGATGATAGATATTGGGAAGTAGGAAAAAAACGTTCAAATGGAAGGGGAAGAAGGGAGGGTGCTGGGAGAAGGAAAGGAATAGGGATTTAAAAAAAAAGAACGGGGTATCACAAAAGCAAAGTCTTTCACATAAGGAGTGGAGAAGGATTGAAGTGGAGAGAGAATTGGAAAAAAGAATTAAGATATACTATGTATAGGTATAAATTCCCTATAATGAATGTGGCCATTATACATGCCAAAAGTGTATCAATAAAATTAATTTTTTAAAAAGGAAAAGATAATCCTGATACCACTTACTCAATGCTCATTCTTGAAATCAGGTCAAAAGTTGTAAACCCTGCTGCCATGAAATTACTTTTATATTGTCCCATCTTTATAGAATCCAGCCAGTCACCAACTGTGACAAACAAAGGATATTCAGAAACTTCACCAGGGGATTCAGGCATTCTATGAGAGAAAAGGAGAGGGAAAGAGAGAGGGAGTGAGTTAGCTTAAAATCCAGGTAAAACAAGAATTATCTAACTTTCTTTTTCCTCTCACTGTATTGTTTCTTCTACTGTTTTTAATCCTCCATTTAAAGAAATCTCCAATTTTCCATGTTATTCAGATAGCAACATCAAAAACCCCATCTATGAATCAAATCAGTCACATGTTTTTTAAGCTTTTTGTCTTTATTTG